GATTCTCTTGTATACGAAAAAAAAGCCATGAGAGTTTAGTGTCTTCTGTTTTTAGCATCTTCATATCTTCAATTGTAAATGAGTGAAGGACCCCAAAATGTTCTAGGGAAAGATTCGTTTAAAATGATGGAGAGTTTTGCAAGTGATTTTCTTTGACCGGTTTGTAGAGGCTAAAAACATAAAAAGTGTAATTTTGAGCGATAGGTTGGTTAGCTGACTTACAATTACTCCCCAAACCAGGATTAATTGTAACAGATTTTTTTTGTCTCTCTCTCTCTCTCTCTCTTCTCTCTCTTAGCAGAAAAAAAGCTATTTAGGGATCTTATTATTAGTTGCCATGTATTGGGGGAGAGAGAGAGAGAGAGAGAGAGAGAGAGAGAGAGAGAGAGAGAGAGAGAGAGAGAGAGAGAGAGAGAGAGAGAGAGAGAGAGAGAGAGAGAGGAGAGAGAGAGAGAGAGAGAGAGAGAGAAGAGAGGAGAGAGAGAAGAGGAGAGAGAGAGAGAGAGAGAGAGAGAGAGGAGAGAGAGGAGAGGAGAGGAGAGAGAGAGAGAGAGAGAGAGAGAATTTAGGGACTCTTATTAATAGCTGCCATGTATTGGGAACATGAAAGAAAAAGAAAAAAATAGCATGATATCCATCTGGTGGCTGAGTACTGAACATTTTCTACAGATGTGTTCAAATTCCTTGTAATTATACAGCATTTTTCACTGCAGTTTAGTTCTACGTGTAACAACAAAGGGTAATACTTAATGATATATGAATATGCAGGGAAATATGAGCAGTTTTAACATATTTGATAAAATCCATTTAGTGTTGAATTTGAAATACTTGTTCACTTCTTTCTTTAATTTGCCCTTGCAACAACAGGCATCTCGTGGTGAAGGCTCACAACGCCCAGTAATGGTGCCAAAGGAGAAAGACGCAGAGGTAAGATAAGCCAGGAGTCTGTCTGGTCACATTCCTCACACTTAGATGTCTGAGACTTCAATTTTGTATTCAGTTCATCATAAAGTACACATGCAAATCCTTTTTAGACAATTAATCTGGATGGTCTATTGTACGTAGAAATATTTGAGCATCCTGGAAGAAATAAGAGTAAGTGAGAGATCATTTAAATAAGGTTTTAATAATGATTTTGTAGTTGTGCCAGGTGGTTCCTGCTGATACAGGTGTTCCCATTGAGGTCCAGTCGGTGCTGAAGAGAGACATCAGAGAGGAAGTAATTCCCGAGGAAATTGCCTCCCATGCAGACTTTTTGAAGTGCTGGTCAACCCCCTTAGGTATGTTGCTGCTTCTCCGTTTGGGCTAGGTATCTGGTGATATGGTTAAGGGGAGGGTATGTGTACATGCCGTAGCCCTATGATTTTGGTTAATTTATTTTTTTATACATAGATGGGTCTGCAAGGGCTTAGCCACCAAGAAGTCAGTTACAAGGCCTACCTCATCTCACTGTTTTCCATATTCCTTGAATTTCAGATTTATATTATTATTGTTTATTATTACTGCAAGTGTTTTTAATATCATTATGATATGATAATATTTTTAGAAATAAATAGCAATACTTATAACATATTTTTGGAAGTAAAGACTTTTTTCTCGCAAAAAAATCAAGAATGGTGCCAAACAGGAGATATCATGGACACTTGGTAAATGCCTCCTTGGTTACTAAGCATTTCTGGACCATTTATGGGTAGATAAATTAACAAAAGAAAATTAGAGTGGACAATGCATATACCTGGCTCCAGCAAGCTTAGAAAAATGGAAAGGATATGTTGAACATCCAGGATATACGGCACATTTGTTCTTAAATCAATTGCCACCAAGAATATGTAATGCCCAGTCTTTTATTTTGGGGAATTGTCTTTACACATAGATGGTTCCACAAGTGCTCAGCCACCAAGAGTTAATTTGAATTGATATCATTACTCTTATTATTATTGTTGACATTCTGGTTATTGTGACGTTATTAGTAATATCATTACCATTTAGATATTTTTAAAAGTAGGTCTGAAATCAAGGAGAAGGGTAACATCTTTACATTTTAGGGGTTTCCTCCTCCCCCCTGTTTGGCCTTCCCCAAACGTGTCTGCAATAAATGTATGGGGCTTGCATCAAACTTGACATGAAATGAGGCCAAATGCACTGATGCATGTTTGATAGTCATCAGCTAACGATGTTTATTATTTTATAGACCATAACAGTTGCACTGATAATGATATAGGTATTTTGATTCTTGCAAACCAAATCTTCCCCTCTCTCAGTTCAGATGGTTCCCTCAACCATTCTTTCCCTTTAACTCAATGGCTGGGGGTTTATGTACTGTCCATTGTAGTCATTTGCTTATTTTATTGTACACAAATGGCTCCACAAGTGCTCAGCCACCAAGGAGTTAAGGGGAAGGCTAGATCAGTAGCAACTCGAGGAGGTGTCATGGTGTCTGATTCTATTTTTGGAAAAAAGCCCGTGGGGTTTATTTTGATGACGTCACAAAATTTACGGATGCTATGTGAATATGGTCAGTCATTTTGGTCTCTTTAATTTTCAAAAAGGATGGAAAATAATGATTTTAATGGTTATATTTTCATAAAAATCATCAAAACAGATGCCATGACACCTCCTCCAGTTGCTACTGATCTAACCTTTCCCAAGGAGTTAATTAGCAGGCCCCGGTGACCATGTTGGTTTCCCATTTCTTGAATTTGTGAGAAAACGTTTTTTTCAGCAATGATATTGATATTGATCTTGTAATTGTTTTTATTGACCATATGATCATTATTATATTATCAAAATATTACCAACAATAAATGTAGCTGAATGATATAAAAGAATCTTTCCAAATATGAAGGAAAGGTGTAAACCAAGGTGAGATATGTAGGCTTGGTATCCGACTTAGCACTTATGGAGCCATCTCTGTGTAAACATAACTGACAAACTAAAATTACATTGGACATAGCAACATGTGAAAATCTATTTTTCATTCATTTGGACTGAAAGGAATAGTGGCAGAATGTTATCTGTGTCAGATCCCAAAATTATTGGATTTTATGAATGTAGATTAGGCACCCTGATCATATTAGTCCATACACATCAACTTCCATAAGCCACATAAATGTAAGAATCACCCAATTGTGTATTTAGATTGCCTAATGGTATTCTCCCCCCCCCACCTTTTTTTTACCACAAAGACAAGCTTATTATTTTTTTCAGGTTATTATTCTTGGCGTAACACCACTAATGGGTCCTGGTTCGTGCAGTCGCTCTGTCAGGTATTCTCCAGAGCCACTGGGGAAGAGGATATTATGGATCTTCTAACTAAGGTCAACATGGTGCTAAATTCAAGTTTCCAAAGTAATTGCCCCAGTAAGTAAGAGTGTGCCTAGGAAAAGGTATGAATGAGAACAAAAACCTTCACAGCACAGGTGGATTTCTGTTATTTCTTCACAGCACAGGAGATTGCATGTAGCATTTCATTTATATATCTTCATCAAGGATATACATATTTACAATAAAGATCTAATGGAAACATCATATATGTCTCTTGCATTGTGAATATATTCATTTTCATTCATACCATGTTCTATATCTGTTCCAAATAACGCTTCAGAATTCTTATGGTCGAGACTTCTAACATCACTTGTTAACTGAAGATACTTGAAATAATTGCCTCCTTTTTACCT